AGCGGAGCCGGATGCACAGGAGCGCCCAGGCCTGAGATCAGGGTGACGGGCACCAGGGCAGAACAGGGAGCTGCAACCAGGGCCGCAGGGCCAGGGAAGGAGGGCAGGGAGCGGGTCAGATGCGGGGCTCTGTGCGGCCTCTGCTTCCAGTCCCGCCGCTCCTGCCCCAATCTGCAGACGCTCCGAGCTGTTTGTCTTCCAAAGCCATTAAACTAATTTCGAGCCCTCCTAAATCCCTTGGCCCTAATCCCACCCCAGTGCTTTGGCTTGGCCGGGAGCAGGCAACGCTTTGGGGGCAGAGGAGGGACAGGGACATCGTGGGGTCACCGACAGGGAGGACGAGGGAGGCAGCGAGGGGATTTCTGTGCAGCCCCCCCCAGCCTGGGGCCCCCAAGCCTCACCAGCCAGACCGGGGGCTGGTGGCAGCTCAGGGCCGTGGAGGGGGTGAGGACAGCGGGGGGGGTGGCCCCGCCATGGAGAGGTGTCGCGGAAAAAACGACGTCAGCAGCGGCCTGCAGGAATTCGGCCTCGATGGCCGGTGCCGCCGGGAGGCACTGGGGGGACACAGGTCCCAGGGGGTCCCTAAAAGACCCTCTGTTTCCCCTTCCTTGCACCCTCCTTGGGGCACGCAGGGTCCTCAGAGCATCCCTGGGGGGACATATCCCGGCCCGTAGACGCGTGTCTGAGTGCAGAGGGCTCGTGACACTGGTGACGCGTCCCCCCACGCCAGGGTGGGTAACAGGGGGGGTTTCTTTTCCCGGAAGCCGGTTTTGCCCTCGGGAGCCCATTGTGGCCCCAGCAGGGGGGACGGGGCTAATCCCCCCCGCTGGGCACACCTGGAGCTGCCGAAAGGAGCGGCCCGGATTACACGGCGCTAATGAGGGGGATTAGCGGAACCCGGGGCAGCCGGATGGGAACGAGCCCCAGGCCACTCCCGGTGCCACCTGTGCCCCCCCCAGGGACACATCCTGCCCCCCTTCGCGCCATCCCCATCATCTCCTCATCACCAGCCCTGCTCATGGGCGCCCGGTGACAGACGGGCTCATTAACAGCTTCATTTCGGCTTCATCTCTCCCTTCCTGCCCAAGCCCCCAGCCCCAAAGCGAGGGGCCATGCCCGGGGCCACCGGAGCCACCCGCGAGCCGCAGTGTCCCC